TTGTGAATAATCAAGACACTCTGGAACTAAACATGTATATAAAGAATGTCTCGCATTCAGTTTTTATTTCGCATAGGACTTGGCATGAAAAAAGAACATTTAATGGCAAATCACAATTGATAAAAATTGAAACAATTTGACAACAATAAATTGTTGTTAAATTGTTTCAAAAGAAAATTAAATACGCGCAGTGATGTAGCGTGTTTGTGTACACGTGACTATGCTGTTGATTTGGTTAATCCATTTATAATCTGATTAAAGTCCATCATTATTGACAGATTACACACTTTAATATCACAATCATGCAAAACTTACGTATTATTTACCTATTAGAGTATTTTCATTAATGATATCTCTCTAAAAGGTAAAGAATTCATATTATTATGATTTCATCATATTAGCCTTTAACTGTCCAATGCAGAACATAACCCTGCCCCTTGTGAGGGTTTGCCAGTAGTTGCCACGCTTGGCAGGGGGACTGGCAACCGCAGTCAGACTTTAGAGATGTTTAAAAAGGGACGCTGCTGCCAATCCCTTGCCCTCCTTTAGTCGGTTTTTACGACACCCGTGGCCGTGTGGTCCTGGTATAGAATAGGCCAACCCTTCTTATCCTATTATGATTTAGTTAGTGTTAATCACTTATTAAAAATTAAAAATTTTAATCTAAATATTACATACCAATTATATTTTTTAAAGATATTTAATATCATTAAATCACTGAACCTAATAATATATAAGTACCTACATAAATACATAATAAGAGTGTATATCTCCATTCTCTGGAAATATAAGTTATTCAATATTGTTTCGGAGTTGGCTGGAGAAATGTAGGTATCTTTGTTTTGCGTTATTATTATGTTAACTTGAAGCAAGGCCATCTTTATCCATGAAATATACGTGGAATATTTCAAATTATCTCGTTTACATTATTGTCGATACAGACATTTTTATAAATTCTGATTGAAATTTTTGTATTAAATTATATTTAATTATACTTTTCATTGTTTATACTTTATTGTATACGAAAAATTGCATTTATACAATTTATTAATATAAGGATGACGAGGCGAGCTTAACTCTGTAAGAGTTCTCTTCCAGCAAACCCTGAGTAGATAGGAGCATTAATTACACTAATAGTATTATTATTACTATTACATTAGTTTTAATATGATAATTAAGACTGGAGTTTGATCTTTGACACAAATGGGAGCAAGTTCTGTAGTCAAATATTATATCACATTAATTAAATAACAGATACAACAGTATATAATAGAAAAATATAGGCAATGATACTACCTCTACAAGATAACTTTTATTAAGCACGAGTAATAGTAATGGTAAAAGAAAATAAAAAAAACATTAAGCGTTCGATTTTTAAAATGCAAACAAGAGAAATTCTGAACGAAGGGCGTTTAATTTACGAATTTCGTGTCACTGAAAGATTATTGAACTGAGTGAGGGTGGTGACAAGAGGAAAATGTCACAATTTAGTCGGCAAAACTGGGCAACAAAATAGGGGAGGGCTCGGGTGGGCCGTCCCCCGCAACCGCTCACAGCTTGTTTACGTTGTCGCCCATGAATCGAGGTAAAACCGGGGGCGAAACTTTGATTAGTTATTCTTTTACTTACGATGACAAGAGGCCATTTATTGGAAAAATGTGCCCCTAAGTTGTAATAAGTAAAATTGTCTTTAGTTTCAGTAAACTATTTCTTTTAAATGAAAAAAAAAAAACTCTCTACACTGTCTCACATTAACATGGTCTCATAGATACAACGTAATGCTTGTTCAGTTAGTTGTGTCAATATACAATTAAACACTATTATGTATGTATATTATTATAAATAATTTTAATATAATAAATTTAATAGATAAAAAATAATTAATTTGCTGAATTTAATATAAGAAGTTACAGTTACATAACTGTTGTCAATACCAATAGGTAACAATTCTCAAGAACATGACGACATGACATATATTGAGAATGAAATAGTTTCATCATCATATTTATCTATATTTGCTGTAATTATTTAAAATGTATACAATTTTAAATAAATATAATAAAAAATTTAGCTGCGTATAATATTATATCAATTAAATTTCTACTTAATATGAAACTACTTAACCTCATTTGTAACTCAATTCCGTTGCCTTACGGACTTCCGCCCCTCGTCGGTTGTCATGACAACAATAACATCAATACCCACAGAAAACATCCCTTTATAGATCATAAAAACACCCCAGGGAGCAGCTGATTTCATTCATTCAATAATTTTGTTTAGTCCTAAGGACTTTGTGTTCTTTGAATAGTTCGATTGATATAGAACTGGTGTTTTATGTTATAAGCAACTTATTATTAGTGGATCATAATGAACCAAATCACTTTTTATTATTACATGATTACTAAAAAGTTACTTTCTATTGCCCTAAAATATAAGTTACAGAACAAATGCACGTATTTATTAAAGATTTGAGATGTGTTGCAATTTTTTATTTCAAACCTAAATTCCGTAAAATCCCTAAATATCAGTAATATTTTAATATGAATATGTTAAGAGAGGAACTGGTTGAAAAACAGCACTGTGCAGCTGTACACAATGTACTGGGACACACAGCATCAGCTTAGCTAGTTCCTTTTGCCTAATATAAAACAGTTCTTATATACATGTATTTTCTGTTGTAATTGTATTTTTTAGGCAATAAATAATTTCTATTCCATTCTGTTTTATTTTATTACACATTTTAGATCGCCATAAAAGCACTTTTTGTTTACCACTGAATTATATAAAACTGTTTAATTCTGAATTTTGATGGATTACATTGTCGAAACAAATTTTTTCTGGTAGACTATTGGGACTAAGTGAGCATATACGAGTAAGCATGAAAGTAGTACTAGTAACTGATAAATAACATGATATGAACACCTTATTAAACGGGATGAGTATCATGTATTTGATAAATTTGAATGTAGAAAAAGAAGATTTAAAAAAGATGATGAGAGATGAACTTTGTATTATAGAACATATGTTTGAGTAAGGATCAAAAACCTGCTCTGGTGACCACAAATAATGGGCAAAGTTCAGAAGAACGACGACGGTTCTATATAGTAATATAGATACAGTATAAATAATAATATCCAGTTACTAATACTTTGAACTATATTCGGTTATTTATAATCTTCTAATGGATATCGTTGTTTCGGATTCTATTACGCAGCAAAACTTCAAGCATTTATAACTCGCTGAGCGACTTTAAGTTTTCTCATACGTCTAACGGTTTAAATCAAACATCAATATTAATAAAATTAGTAATTAAGCACATATTAAACATTAATTAACTGTAAATTAAGTGAGAAATCCTCCGAAATATATTTACACATTATATGATAAAAACAAAATACTAATGTGACATGATATTAAGGAATAATGTAACACTACATTTGTAATTCAAATTTATTTCTTAACATGAATGTTATTCTACGGATCTAATCAAAAACGGAAATATTACGTAAACGTTTTGATAACCAAGCATGAATAACTTGCTTACGTCTGTATTTATACATTCTGTATAGCTGATTACGCGTATAATTTTTCACATATAAAATATTGTAAAGAATGGAGTGTGTTCTTAGAAAACTTGATTCATTCACAATATACAAACAAAATATATACATAAGTAAAATCATAACTGCACAGATGACAAAAAGCAATAAATATAGGCATGGAACGCTAACCCTTTTGCGATGATGGTGCGTTCAAGGGACCACAAAAGGCTTCAACAACCCTCCTGCCTCACCCTCCCATTTATTCACGAACGTAAAAAAATATTAGTTTTAGATAAGTACATGCCTGGCATTTCCGAGGGCAAGTTGGTATCTCATATTATTCAAGAGTGCGTTATAGTTTCATGGCCGTTTCGTTTGCGAAGATGTTGTTTATTAAAGCTACATATTTAACTATTTCTATTATTAAATTTATAGAATCTGTTACTCGGTGGGATGACAGAGTAAATATACATTTTTTCCCTAGGATATTGTTAGAAGCAGCTAATGAAAAAAGCACAATGCACTAATGCAAAAGAAAAAATCTCTACATCAAATCTTCTTTTTTGCATAGTCCTTTCTATTACCATACGGTAATAGTAAGGATTTTAATAGAGAGTAATCCATGGCCAGCAAAAGGACGTTCATAAATTGTTATGATTCACATACATGCTTATATTTATACAAGAACTTGCAATGTAAACATTTCTTGGGAAATAATAATTATTTTTAAGTAGATTTCTTCTGTAACATTTTAACAAGTATTCTTAACAAATTCTGTAGTTAACAAAATTGAGTAAAAACCAAGATTTTTTTTAAACATTTTTAAAACAAAATGCACTAGATACTGTTATGGAGGTTGTTCTGACGTCCACTAGGTTTGCGAAAATACAAGGAATAGATATTTAGTTATGTAATACGAATTTGATAATGCATTCTAATATAATATCAGGTTACTTAATCAAGTGTGAGAATTGTAATGCAAACAATGACAAATGGATACTTGGACGTCAGTTCGCGTAAATATTCGAATTGTGTTCACGTTTTCGTGTCAACATCACGTTTGAATGTTCTATTAGCGATTCACGACGGCCCATTATTTGCTTTGAATCTCTATTTTGTAGCTGACAAATAAATTTGGCGATAAGGTTTCGATATTGATGAAAAGTATCCTGGAAATATTATTACAAAAAATTAACATGGCCATGGCTAGATGCTGTGCACAGATCTTTATAAAAGTGAGATCTTCAATTTAATTTAGTGTAAACATCCTAATAAATATATGCCTGAGAAAAGTATTCTGAATTTATTCAATTGTATTAGCGAAGAATTTTGTATGTTCTTTTAGTGTAAATTCATTTTAAGGCAACAAACAATTGACGTGAATTACGCTTACTTACATAAATTATGATTCACTGATATCGCCAATTCAATTTGAATTAAATACATAAATTATTTATAAACCGGTTATATAAATTACAGCCTTATATATACGAATATATACCAATTTAAATGCCAGATCAGTTAAAACGACAAGGCTAACGTTATCGAGCGAAAATCGACACGTCTTATGTAGGCCAAGCGACAAGCGAGATAGCATGAGAGTATTCCTACATTTCCAGTAGCGCGATTTACTGTGATAGTTTCGTTTTCACGACCCAATGGTTCCGTTGTTCGCGCTTTTATTTGACTATTCTGGTTGTCTAATGGTCGGATCGTGACCATTTAGTGAGATCTTTGATAGTTTAATAGGTCGCTTCCCGTGGACCGTGTCGTTGCAAGATAGAGGGGAGCAACGTGGATCTTAGTAAGTTGGTCATGCTTCAGCTCGTCGTGTAGATTGGCAGCGCGTGACGTCCGCACTCCATAATCAGCTGCGGGCAATCTATTGCGCAACCAACGCATCGCGACAAACTTGAGCTACTTGGTAATTCAGTAGACACGGTATTTACTTTCTCAAACTCCATATAAATGTAATCGCATTGGTCACTGAGGTTGGCGAAACTTTCTTGGCCTTTATTTGTTACATAAATGTAGATATGCCAAAATGGGTTTTGTTATATTACAGTTGCAGACTAAAGTATGTATAAAGTGTGATTTATGTGGAAAGCGAAATTAACTCCGGCGCTTCCTGGGTAATTAGATTACCGTACTATAAACCGGTTGACTAAGGGTTCTTATAGACGAGCGGTACTTTGCCAAGGGCAATGATAACTGGCAAGCAACGACATTCGATTAGGTATTGCTGTCGAGGCACATTTACTTCTTCTGTTTCTAAAGTGCGCTTCATTTATACCTACCTGATCATTCAACCACGATGGTTATCTAAAGGTAGATTTTGACATATCAATAAAAATAACACTTAGTTTAGTAAAAGTTAAAAAGTTCTACAAACGTATTTTTTGTCTTTTGCAAATCAATTTCTGCGCAAAAAATATCATGTGATAGTTTTGTTTGTTTAGTTGTGGTCCTAAAATTTATACAATGGAAAATTAATATTATTTTCAATATTACTTATCAGATTTAACTTATATGTAAAATTCTTCCTCTATCCTATTTACTGTACCCAACAGGGTCCATAAATGAAGTTGAAATGTTATTTACCAATCACATTATGGAATGCAATAAGAAATAAATAAATAAATACAAATTTAGTCTTTAATTTCTGGTTGGTTCAAATACATGGAGTTAAATTACTCATATTTTTCAGTATTATAGTGATATGTATACAATATAAGCCTCAGTTATCAGATAATGTACTGATGTTTGTGTTTAATAATACCATACATTTTATAAATCACCCCATTATCAGACACGAATCTTATCATGCGTACGCTTTTGAGTTTACTATTGACAAAGTAAACGTAATGACAGCGAATTCAAGGAACATAATATAATAAAATTAAATTATGTGTTTTTATATGTTCGTTTCGAACCTTGTATTTTATTAATTGATCTATACGTAGAAAATGTTTTGTAATAATATAATGTTGTAATAAATTATAAGCTTATTACTAATTCAACTAATGTTTGTTTTCCTCTAACATTATAAGTATAACTACTTCATGTATAAATTTTGCATGAGTAATTTTATTCACTGTATTAAATATAAAATATATACCTACAAGTTCATATCAGTTAGAAATCCACTAATGCATTATAATTGAAATATAAGAGAATAACTTAAAATTAAAAACTAACTTCAGCAGTGAAGTTCTACAGATGCATGAAAACTGGAATAGCGCTCATAGCGGAAAGTAACTTAGTTTATTCCTAAACTAAGAACTTTAGTGCAGAAGTTATTATGGGTTAAACTTTTTAACATCCACTCATACTCAAGACGTTAAAAGGCACAGTATCAATAAAAATATAAACATATAATATTTTATATGACGTTATGAAGCCTTGGTTTAAGGTTTATTGACGTCGAAGTCGTGAACCCTGTGATATTTTTCATCAGCAATTTGTAAACAAAATATCTTCCTCTATTTAACCTTCTTAGGGGACGAATTTTGATAAATTGTCTCTTATGATATATTCTTGTACAAAATATCGTGCTTCAAAGTCTACCGATATTTGATACGAAGCTTTTTTACCTTAAAAGTTTAAATGATACCACAGAACAATATTAGTGTCTTTTGACTAGATCTGTCTTTATAAGATCTATAAATTAATATAAAATGTAGATAGACAACACGGAAAATGCAAAAGCAAGTATTTGCTTCCCTTAACCACTTTAATGGTATCTTCAATCATAAAAGTAAAAGGAAAAATATAATAATTTTTAATAAAAGTATACTCATTAAGAAAAGAAATACTTAGGTACTGCTTTAATTTATAATGGTCTGTATAATTATCACATAAACACTTTGTGGTATAACCGTATGACGTAAGATATATTTGCATTTATGGAATATCACGAAGCCAGTGAATCAGTATAATAATAGAAGGAAAACCGTTTCTCGACCGGTTTGTTATTTTCGCATAAAATCCTTAAGTGAACGCCATCATTAGCAGGAAAAGAACTGAGGTGACACATATCATTAACCTTAAAAGGAATCGTCCGTTTGTTTGTTTGTTTATCACCATATATTTGTTTATCATGATATAATATCGTCCGTTTGAGATAATTAAATGTGATAGTTCGAAAAACGAACGCACCGCATGAATGTCTACATATTTACACATATACAAACTTATTATTTGTAACTGTCGTGGATATTGTTATTCATATGTGGATCTAAACTGTGGATTCAAATGCACTGATGCCGTCCGGGGTATGTATGGGAGTGTGGTAGCTATCACAATTTAACTGTCTTACTTATTTATCAGGTAAACCACATGCTCGTTTGTCCCCTATGTTATAAAAAAAGAAAGATAAAACAAGCAGTGTAAACTGGCATAAATATTGATGCTAGTGATTGTTAGAATTTGAAATCTATCTTAATAAGATTAAAAGACATGTTTCCTATCTTTTTCAGGCAACACAATAGATGCCGTAGACCAGATAAAAAGTGACCAGATATTATTGCAAATGTGTATGTTTAGATTCCGACAAGTTAATTATTTTTATTTACCTATCTTGTGTAATAAGTTTTAATGTTTGCACGCCTACTTATGGTAGAATAAGATTGTACTATAATTTTCTTCTGACATAACATCTATAAAATGTACCTTAGCATAGCAAATAATTCTATAATAAAAAATATATATATATTTAAATATTTATTTATATATATTTTTCTAAATAAGTCAGCACATTTGTTACGGCGATTAAACTGCACAATTTACTCGTTTATCGTTTAAGTAAATATATATCAACGATCTAATTACGGTTCGTATAACCGGTCCTTCCAACCGCGGTACGAAACCGGTTCAAACTGCTTTAATTAACGCATGTCCGGCCCATAGACAATATCGCGATTTAAATCGATTTTTACTATACCATATGGAAATGAAAGCCATCGGAATATCTAGCAAATTGTTATCGTATTATAAGGCCTTCATTAAAGATACTTAGAAATTAATTATGAAATATAGATTATCTATTAGCGGAAATGGAAAAAGGGGTTTTAAAAGTCACTGCGAAATCCAATGTATTGTGTTATGAAAGAATGTAATTGCTTGCTAATGAATCAAAAAGTCAGAAGTCATTGCCTTACTAGCCGTGGGCGTTCATAACTCACGCCTAATTAAATGTCGAGGTTCTTGACTCTGTAATATCTACTGATGTACTATCATATAAATCGGACTTATTCTGTATTTTGTTTCATGCACATAATAGTATCTAGTGACGATGGGTATATCGGTCACATATTATTCGTCAGCAGCCCACGCTGCTCCGTTGTCGGTTACTGGAGGTTATTATTCATATTGTTATTGTTGTGTCGACAACGTTCCGAAATCCGAATCACTCGTTCATCGCCGTGTATCGCCCATCTCAGAGCCGACACCTAGCTCGTCAAAAGGCCGTTGGCCCGCTTTACACGAGCGTGGGTCGCCTATTATGTGCATGCGCATTAGTAAAGACTACAGTTACGTGCAATGAACGTTTCCTATGGACCCACATTGTTTTCATATTAATTATCTAATTACATAATGCACGAGACGTCACGAAACTTATTCTCTGCCCGTCCAACGCTCACTTGCCAAAAGCTATTAATTACGACCAAAGAATAGAATATCTCGACGGCTAATCCCCCGGAGCCGGTTACGGTTACCGACAACGTTGATTAATGTCGGCAGCGTTCGTTTAACTCTTTCTTTGCATGTATGCGTTTCTCGGTTGTGTAAACGCGTACGCGAATAACCTTCTTTCGGGTTGCTCGATGAACGTAAATAGACTCGCATCCGCTGTACAAATAAATAAATTATACGCTGTGATACGGCACAGATGCGCTCCGCTTGAAGCCTTGGACAGAGCCGTTTAAAAATTGGACGTGTCTTTATATTGATGGAGCAATAAAGGAAAGTGATCGTTAAGGTTATTCGGCAACGGAGCTGACATTGGTGCCAATTAAAGCGTCGTTTTCACTTGCATCGCTTGGCAACAAGTTTCGCGTTTGCATCGAGCATTGAGTACAATAGAAAATGGAGATGGGGTCGTTCAGTTCTCACTGACATTACGGCGGGCGATGGCAGGCGTGCGAAGAATGCCAATGGAAACAACTGTTGGTTTCCTCGAAGCGACACGCGTGACGAACCGAGAACCGGTTACACGACGGCGCGCAGAAACAATGCATTAGCAATGCTTTTCATTAATTTTAAACCCGCTCTTGTATTTATGTTTATAAAGCGCTGTCGTTATAGCTTGCGAATCGACGGACAATTCGTTGAGACAACAAAACGTAGTTAAATGTTACAATAGACGTGCAGCATACAAATGTTGAGTTGAAAGAATCTATTTCGGTAGGTGTTGCGATATTGATGCTATTCACGTACGAATGATGCATCCTGTTTCTTTTTAACAGATTACGATATGGTCTGATGAAAAAACGATCGATATGTGTACAATCGAGTAAACTGTGAAAGCGAGATGAACACATGCGGTTCACATAACGTAAGTTTCAAATGAAATAAAATTTATACGGCATTCGTTTCAAATTCAAACACGTTGCAACAGATCACACAATATAAAATCGAAATAGGTCAAGTGGGAAATATGTAAGTGAAATAACATATTCGCTCTGGTTAACGAGTCACAAAATGCACGACACGCTACATTTTACTACGTACTGCAGCAACGCCTACTTATGGATAAAATGAATGATATAAAATTTTAATCTCATTCCAGAAGCATATAAAATTTATTACAGCGTCCTTAAAGCTAAAGAGCTATTTTTTAACATATTCAGATACAAATATGGATATTATACATCAGATACAATGTGTCCTTAGAGGTCACTTAAAGGTCAAATTGAAAACACGATGAAAAAATAACAATAACTATATATAAATTACATTCTGAGAACAGGAAAGAAATAATATAAGAAATAATACTCATTAATGAGTAGATTCATGCATAATTCATATTTAAATAATGATTGCGAGGTATTTATTGATCAGACATCGGAATGTCAGCATGAGTTGTAATAATTCCGATTATACTGCTACGGAAATAGCTGCAAAATTGTATTTTTCTATTAGTTTTAATGTTAAAAATAGAAAAAATCCATGTAAAGATATGTTTTAAGTCACTATAACCAGTATCACTGAACAATACTTTTCTAATAAGTGTATGTAGGCTCATTCATACGATGACTATTATTTTATTATGCTAAAATCCTTCGTATTCTCTTTACTATATAAGAAGAAGGATGGTAATGCGATTAACATTGAAAAGATCGTCTCTGCTCATAACATCGCATGCACGGTACATTAATAAAGAGATGACATAAACAACCCAGTTGTCCATATTTTTATGGTTATACTTTATTTAATCTCTTGTATACCGTCCCTACTCGACAATTGATATTATAAGTACATTAAATTGATTGTGCAACACTATTTATAGAAGTAGTTGTGTGTGACATAAGAAACACATAATATTTCTATGAAACGATATTGTTTTCAGGACAAACATAAAATGTATCATTTGTATGTCAAACTCAGATGGTAGAAGTTTAAATTGGTTCGTCATATACCCAAGTACGAAAAGGCGATTTCTTGATTAAGGTAAGATTAACACATATATAACTATTTGATAAGTTCCATGTCAGAAAGGAGAACATATTTACTTAAGTGCTTTGTATGTTTTACGTATGTCACTGACAGTTGCGTAAAATACTATGTAATTAATTATTCTACAATATCAAGGTATTTGCTGGCAGTTGCGATGGAATCCGTAAGGTTAACAGAATACAAACACAAATCATCGTTACTCAGCAGGCCGAAAATTAAATACATCTGCAAGCAAAATCAACTACTATTCGTGAGATGGCTATATTAATTTGCTGGCACCTCAATAAAGTTACAAGTATTACCGTTCACAGTCATACTATTATCGCAGTCATTAGCATAACAGAAACTTTTTAAATGCTGATAAATTAACAACATGATGGAATCAATTGAATAATAAAAGATCATAATAGATCTGCAATATTTGAATAACATGCGTCATAATATAAAATTGTCAACAAAAGCCGAGTTAAAAGTTATTTATTTGAAACACAATTCCGTTGACCGCGTCACCTCGAGCTCGGCGGTGAGTTATAAATTAAACGAACATAAAAGACATATGAACGTGAATAAAATGAGACGTCGTATAGTGAAAAGTTTACGAGGGGTGCGCGAGTCGCCGTCTACGCACACCAGTTGGCGTGGGTTCAATTCCTGTTTGAAGTATTTTTGGAATCACGCACGGCGCGCCAGTCCGCCTGTTTACAAATACTAGCGCACACTCGATTCAATTCCACGAGATTTTGTAAACACAGTGCCAAAAGAGATTGCTTCGGTCGTTGCCTATACCTACATCAATATTATTTTGCAATTACCTGAGTAGATTTAGTAAAGCCCAGTAAACATTCTTAACAGCCTGTTTAGCATATAAGTTCATATAGTATAAACAAGTAGTGCTTACCTATTATTTAGCTAATGTACGCTATTTATGTTAATTTTTAAAATAAACGTTTTCTGTTTTGTACTTTAGAATCATAAGCATAAAGCGGCAAATTTAAACTGACATTATTTTAAATTTAAGATGATATACATACGTACATGCATATGAGTATTTACAGCTATCAACGTTTCCGTATGTAAAAATTAGAAATTAATGAACATTAACAGATAAATTCTAAATAATTTGTGCCAAGGTTTAATTTTAATAATTCCATTTTTTGAAATACAACGATTTTATAGATATTTTATTTTATAGATAGAAAGACAGAAACTATATAAAAAAAATCGTGAGGCTAAAGAGAATGTCACTCGGTATAAAACATAAAACTAATACTTAAATTGACTGTGAAGCAGAAATAACTAATGACCATTAAAAACTCAAACAAGTACAAATAATTAATCTAGTGGCGTCCGGTTGGTGTCGCGGAAGAAATCGACCGAGACTGAGTGCTCCGGTATCGATAAGCGGACCGGTTTAAAGCAACATCACTATATTCGTGAGAGACTACGACCAAATAAAACACATCGTGCAACTGGCCTCCGACAGACAACTGAGCGGCATTTACGTGGAATGAAGACAGGCATAAATTATATAGGATCGTATGGAGGATGAAAGGGCAAAAACATGAAACATCTCCCTCTACCTGCGCCGAGGGCGAACCTTTGAGTTGCCCGATCGGCGAGTTCTTAACAGGTTCTCGGAATGTTGTGCTCAGCTTGTTAATAAAATTTCCGATGTTGATAATGTTCCATCAAGTAATTTCTTAGTATTACGAATTCCAATCAAATACCTTCATTGAGTTTAAAACTGAAACAAAATTACAACATCAAAATGGACTTACGGTAATTGTATGTACCCATGTTCTGGAACAAAAACTACCGCGGCGGTCAGTTCAGGTTTTTTTAAGTTCAAACTTACATA